ACATACAGGAATAAGGTTGCATAAAGACCCGCAGTTTTTTTCGGATCCTTTGGTGCGCTCCCTGATGGTCGCTTACATCGAGTGGAACGTTTGTCAAATAGATGTAAGTCGTATGCTTGTATGATATGCTTCTCGTTGTGCGTTAGCTCAAACTTTCTATTGTTGAATTCGTTTATATCTGCGTTTCTTCCAAAAATATGTTGGACACTTAATTTTTGCTCGCCATACGTATTCAACGATAAGAAGAAATCGACATCCTCTCTAGTGTGTTTTCCCTCTCGCAATCTGTTTAAGCGTGCGGCAAACTCGGTCTCATCTTTTTGACGCATTATAGTTGTTAACTCAACCATTGAGAAAAGCTCCCATACGTTATCTTCAACCATTGTATTCAATGATTTTGTCTTTGCAAAACAGTATCTATCGGCTACCGGTGGTAACTGAAAGAAGTCTCCTACAAATATGACATGTAATTCTCCAAATGGGATGTGTTGTTTTCCTCGTAACTCCCTTAGCCGCCAATCCAACCATCGAAATGTGTGCTCGCCAAGCATTGAAACTTCATCGACTATAACAACCTTCACGTCACATAAATTGGACCGTAGCGTGTTCACTCGTTCTGATGATAGATTTGATATTGTTCGGTTTTGCGTAACTGGAATCATTAAAGCGTTATGAATAGTGTACCCACTTATGTTAAAAGCAGCAACTCCGGATGGCGCCAATTTCAACACTTTGAGAGATGTAGGGTCAGAATGAATCGTTGCATTAAACATCCGTGTAATCCTTTCCGTCAAAGCTCGAATGAGAACCGATTTTCCCACTCCAGCTCCACCAGATATAAACAGACGAAGCGGTGTATAACTTTTCCGTATGTGATGCACGACATGATCACTAATCGCGCGTTGTTCCGCATTTAATATCTTCTCCAGCAGCATATATTCCGAACTGTCAACGTTGATATGCTTGAACAAATCAGTGCTCTTTTTAACAACATCTTGCATATTCAATTCGTTTGCAAGATCGATATGGTCAACTATATCATTTGAATCTTGTGTTTCAATTGATATGCGATCATCGTTGGCTTGTTCGGCTTCTTTGAATGCATCAGCCCATGTATCTAACTCTTTCGTGAACTCTTGCTCTTTCGCAATAATATCTCGCTCAAATCTGTGATATGCATCAGAACATTCAGCATGGTCGATTGGCTCCTCTCGAAAATGATGAAACAATAAAACCCTCTCTCGAATATAATTGTTATAATTCTGATTCTTATGATAATTCACAAATCTTATTATCTTAGACTTTCCGCGCTTATAATAGAATCTCTTTTCCTTAGTTAAGTCAGGACCAATCAAGTGTAATTTATGCTTGCTCGAATCGTATGGGGCCAATTCATACTTTGAAATAAAATCGGCCAAGCACGTATGTTCCATAGCTTCAGGCCTTAACTTATACTTTTGAATGCATGCGTAGGGTTCATACACGTCCGTGCTCGTTGATTCTAATTGGCGCAATTTATTAATAGATTTAAGGGTTAGTAGTCGTTCGTTATGTGGTGATGTATTAATGAAGATGACTTGTCGTGTTGACATGCGATACTGTAACCCAAGTAGCAAATAGCATGCTTCTTGTGCGCTTATTTCTTGAGAATTCAACATAGCGTTCCCAATGGTACGAAGAATTCCCTTTATTCCTGATTTTTTATTACGAGCGTATGCTAAAGCCTTTTGCATCATGGTACTCATACCTTTATTTGCTTTTGTCATGTACGATACAATGTACGCTGCCACGCTATATGGATCAATGCACAACTGAATATCCATATTCCCATTCCACATTCTGAGAAGGGTGGGATTATAATTGTTTATGTAGACATCACTTACCTGACGGCGTAGAATAAGTGTTGTTCGCTTTAGTGACGACCGGATAACAAGCAGATATTCATCGAAAACAAGACTAACCTTTTGCAAAAAGACAGTGAAAGTGATATTACTTCCGGACGATGCACCATCGAGCCACTCCTTAACGCGTCTTGCATCACTCGCCAATTTTTGTCGCTCCCGTACAGAGAGGGTAGCAGGAATGGGATGTAAAAGCATCGTTGAAGGTAACGGAAATCTTGGAAAACCAAACCTACACTTACGTAAGGAACTCGATCGTTGGCAAGTTCTTGAGTGTTTGTGTGTTTGTAACGACAGCAATTGTGGATGTAAGCCTCTAGAGCTCGTACTAATATGTTTATCTGCGTACCTTATAATAGCGTCCGCTCCAACGATGCCAATCTCGTTCGCACCTTTACTCCAAACAACGGCATGCGTATGCGGCGCGCCACGATGTTGAAATTCGTCAAGTGCAAAATAGTCATCGATTCCATCAAGAACGTCTGACTTCTATTCAACATATAACAAAACAGCAATCTCTTTCTATGAGCATAATATCGTGCACAAGTCACAGGGTCATTTCTTACCAACGTGGTAATCGTACTATACTGTAACGGTAAGCCTATACCGGACGGCAATTAACACGGATTCCCACGTAATGTATTTACTCTTAAAAGTATCGCATGAAGATCAACCCAGCGGGTATATGCCATTGACATGGTTATAAAGAACGTTGGCCTACCGATTTGACGCAAAAGTGCAAAAAGATCGCGCTTGCAATTGTCTCTGTATTGTTGTGTTGAACGGATGACCTTAAAATCATTATATAAGGTATCGTTTTGTTGAAGCGTGAAACGCTTATTTTCGTTCAACATATCTGTCGCGGTAAATGCTTCTAGATTCCTAATTTTGTCTTGTCGTACACGCGTGGCAATTACATTTTGGCACCACTGTAATATCTCTTTTTTATACATTTTGAAAAAAATGTTGGATATATTTGATGAGCATCGCCCATTTCTATGCTTTAGTTCCCACTTTGCAATATCCGAATACGATACATGCAAGTCTGTTGCTGCACGCACTCTATGATTACCACCATAGATTGTTGGGAAACTCAATTCTTCGACATCTTTATCTAATATTATGGACAATGGTTTTGATTGCTCTCCTGGTGCCATTTGCACCAAGCTCTGTGATGGATGCTGATAAAAAGGCTCTTGCGTAATAAGAGTGTCGAGTACACCAACGTTTACGCTATTCATCGTTGCTATCACTTGACTCTCTTGATGAAGAATCGCTTTCGGCATTGGCTGAATTCGCATTGTCCATACGTGGTTTGCTGTGTATAGTGCTTAACCGGTTCAAATTAATTTTGTTTAAGACAATTTTGTTGTCAGTAAAAAGTTGTTGTCTACAAAGGAAGTTTATCGCTTTCAAGATTTTAGCAGGCCTCACGTTTTCCTCAAATGCGCTATGTTTGTACTCCATCTTGCGTTTCAATCTGACCGTAACGGTATGTGTATCATCGAGCAACCTCGGTAATGAGGATACCATCTGGTTAACTTCAACTGGAATGTTGATAACTCCGCCTCGTATACCGTACTGTTTTCCAATGGACAATGAACGTATATTCATAAATGGTATGCGCGGACTTATTAAACGCTCTTCTAGCGTTGTAAGGTTTTTGAGTTCAACGGGTTGAGACGGAAAGCCTACTTTATTTAACGTAAAAAATGGCGGATCCTTTCCTTTCCTAATGTAACGTGCACAACTTTGACACACGATTTGTTCCGCATTTCCGTGCTTCGCCTTTGCCACGTTTTGTTGAAAACACATTGTTCCACATGACGGGCATGAAAAATCGGGTCCATCTTTGCATTTCTGCAAAAACTTCTCCGTATATTGATCCTTGTTTTGTTTTACCGGTACTGCTTCAATGTTATCGTCCTTGAAAATATCGTCGAGCTCTAGATGCGCGATAAGGCCACCGCTATCATCTAGAACCCCGTTTGTTAGATCAAGTATATATTTTTTATGTTCACGAAGTTTGCTACAAATGAAATATGTTCTCGCCAATGCGGCATCTATGTCGTGCGCAAAACCTGAATGCGTATAACGTTTGCCATTACAATTCACCAAAAATTTAAAACCCTTTGCTGTACGTCTTACACCTATAAAGTGCGTGCTTCGTGGTTTATGATGCTCCACTAATTTCCTACAAAGACATAACATGGTCATCGAATTACGTGAATCTTTCTTCTTATATTGGTGAGATCCATTGTTAACATTTGATGTAGCACGGATTGGTTGCGTGTGATGACAAGTGCGACTGCTAGCGATGGTAGTTTCTGCGTCATCATGATGATCTCGCCTTTTATTGCACGAACTACTTGTTCCCTGCTTACTGTTATCTACGTTATCTTTTACTTCTTTAGGCTATTACCCACACCACGAATTACTGTCATTATTAGCTCGTGCTATAGTAGCTGTCTCAGGTTCAACTGACGCGTATCTGGAGCCATATAAACTTCCATTGTTTGAAGGAGAGTAGAAGAGAATAATGGCTCGCATCGATATCAAAATTCAAATGAAGTACGCCATGAAATGTGGTAGGGTTGCGCGCCCGAAAACATGCCCAAAAATGGGTTTTTCTTACCCAAACAATGACCGTCACGTTAAAACAACTGAAAACGCCTTCACCTCATTGATAGATCCCCATTCACCAGATTTAGAGGCGTGTGTGTAATAATCGATACCTGATAAAAACGGTCTATCGAATGCGCTTCTTGCGACGAGCCAGTACTCGAATTCTGGATTTCTCCAGTTCGCAACCACATGTCTCAATAGCCTATCTTTGACCTCCTCATACCTTTCTTGCGTGTTATGCAACCATTTTGACAAGGCTCGATATAGGCAATTTCCATCACCAATAATCTGTATCAGCTCGAGCGATACACCTTCTCAAACTCACCGACTAGTTCCACCGGTGATGATCATCGGAGAAGATGAACATGTTGAAGCCATGGGAAAAATCTAACTCTGTAGAATGTTCACGCAAACAAATATTGCTAGATGTGAAACATTTACTATATAGATAAAGTTTGCAAACACATTGGTCGTATAAGTACCGCAAAAAAGAAACTTGTCTACACTTCAAAACACAGGAATACAGAGAGAGAGAGAGAGAGAGAGAAGAGAGGAGAGAGAGAGAGAGAGAGGAGAGAAGAGAGAGAGAGAGAGAGAAGAGAGAGGAGAGAGAGAGAGAGAAGAGAGAGAGAGAGAGAGAGAGAGGGAGAGAGAGAGGAGAGAGAAAGAGAGAGAAGGAGAGAGAGAGGAGAGAGGGAGAGAAGAAGAGAGAGGAGAGAGAGAGAGAAGAGAGAGAGAGAGAGAGAGAGAGAGAGAGAGAGAGAGAGAGAGAGAGAGAGAGAGAAGAGAGAAGAGAGAGAGAGAGAGAGAGAGGAGAGAGAGAGAGAGAGATAGAGACATTGAGAGAGATATAGAGAGAGATAGGGAGTAACGTGAGATTGAAGAAGAGTATTTGTATTGAGAGAGGGAGAGGAAAAAATGGAGAAACTGAGAGAGCAAAAGAGAGGGACATTTTGAGAGAGAAGTTGAGAACAGGAATGAAAGGGGTGAAAGCTAGAAGGAAGGAAATGATACGTACGAGAAGTTGGAAGGCACAAGCCGTGTTGCAGTGGCGTTTTGTAGATTCGGACGAATAAGGACTGCGGGGGAAAAGTGATCGAAGGGTTGAGTGTGAGAGTGAAAGAGAGAGAGAAAGAGAGAGAGAGAGAGAGAGAGAGAGAAGAGAGAGAGAGAGAGAGAGAGAGAGAGGAGAGAGAGGAGAGAGAACGAGAGAGAGAGAGAAGAGAGAGAGAGAGAGAGAGAAAGAGAGAGAGAGAGAGAAGAGAGAGAGAGAGAGAGAGAGAGAGAGAGAGAGAGAGAGAGCGAGAGAGAGAGCGAGAGAGAGAGAGAGAGAGAGAGAGAGAGAGAGAGAGAGAGAGAGAGAGAGAGAGAGAGAGAGAGAGAGACGAAAGAAAGAGGAGTGATATTGAGAGGAGAAAATAGGAGAGGGAGACGGAGAACAAGATATGCGGAGACATTGCAAGGCAACCACAGTGATGCTGTGGTGACGAGCACAAATTATTCCTTGGAAATATGAAATGCTTGAATGCGAGATTTGTGAAAGGAGTGACACATCTTATGACAACTTTTTTGTGCACCTAAATTAGGCAAAGTACCAAACCAAAGGTTACACATAACCACAATACCCTGCTGCCATTTTCATGACGAACAATATGCCATGGTTCATAAATACAATAAAGACAATTTCACCAACAAGCACATTTCGCCTCGTGAACACCTTCCTTTAGGTATACCCAAATCACAATTGATTCTAAAAACTACCATTAATTTTATTATGGATTAACAATTACGTACACGAGCGCTCACACGAAACGTGACCCAAAACGAATCTTCGAAATATGGACTATCTGCAAAATCCAACAAACATAGGCATAACAGGAAGAGCAAATAGCGTGCACTTAGACAGGAAACACAAATTTATACAAAAATCTGCAACCGTAGAAGATTATTTCGGATGGGGAACAGCAAAGGGTGAGAAACGGAGGGGACAGCAAAGGGGGAAGAACGGAGGGGGACAGCAAAGGGGGAGGAACGGAGGGGGACAGGAAAGGGGAAGGAACGGAGGGGGGACAGCAAAGAGGGAGGAACGGAGTGGGGACAGCACAGGGGAGGGACGGTGGGGGGACAGCAAAGGGGGAGGAACGGAGGGGGACAACAAAGGGGGAGAAACGGATGGGGGACAGGAAAGGGGGAGAAACAGATGCGGGACAGCAAAGGGGGAGAAACGGAGGGGGAACAGCAAAGGGGGAGGAATCGAGGGGGGACAGCAAAGGGGGAGAAACGGAAGGGGACAGCAAAGGGCGAGGAACGGAGGGGGACAGCAAAGGGGGAGAAACGGATGGGGGACAGCAAAGGGGGAGGAACAGAGGGGGGACAACAAAGGGGGAGAAACGGATGGGGACAGGAAAGGGGAGAAACGGATGGGGGACAGCAAAGGGGGAGAAACGGAGGGGGGACAGCAAAGGGCAGGGAACGGAGAGGGGACAACAAAGGGGGAGAAACGGATGGGGGACAGCAAAGGGGGAGAAACGGAGGGGGGACAGCAAAAGGGGAGGAACGGAGGGGGGACAGCAAAGGGCGAGGAACGGAGGGGGGACAGCAAAGGGGAGAAACGGAGGGGGGACAGCAAAAGGGAGGAACAGAGGGGGGACAGCAAAGGGCGAGGAACGAAGGGGGCACAGCAAAGGGGAGAAACGGATGGGGGACAGCAAAGGGGGAGGAACGGAGGGGGACAGCAAAGGGGGAGGAACGGAGGGGGGACAGCAAAGGGGGAGGAACGGAGGCGGGACAGCAAAGGGGGAGGAACGGATGGGGGACAGCAAAGGGGGAGAACGGAGGGGGGACAGCAAAGGGGAGAAACGGAGGGGGGACAGCAAAGGGGGAGGAACGGAGGGGGGACAGCAAAGGGGGAGGAACGGTGGGGGGACAGCAAAGGGGGAGGAACGGAGGGGGGACAGCAAAGGGGAGGAACGGTGGCGGGACAGCAAAGGGGGAGGAACCGAGGGGGGACAGCAAAGGGCGAGGAACGGAGGGGGGACAGCAAAGGGGGAGGAACGGAGGGGGACAGCAAAGGGGGAGGAACGGAGGGGGAACAGCAAAGGGCGAGGAACGGAGGGGGGACAGCAAAGGGGGAGGAACGGAGGGGGGACAGCAAAGGGGAGGAACGGAGGGGGACAGCAAAGGGGAGGAACGGAGGCAGGACAGCAAAGGGGAGGAACGGATGGGGGACAGCAAAGGGGGAGGAACGAAGGGGGAACAGCAAAGGGCGAGGAACGGGGGGACAGCAAAGGGGGAGGAACGGAGGGGGACAGCAAAGGGGGAGAACGGAGGGGGACAGGAAAGGAGGAGCAACGGAGGGGGGACAGGAAAGGGGGAGAATCGGATGGGGGACAGCAAAGGAGGAAGAACGGAGGGGGGACAGCAAAGGGGAGGAACCGAGGGGGGACAGCAAAGGGCGAGGAACGGAGGGGGGACAGCAAAGGGGGAGGAACGGAGGGGGACAGCAAAGGGGGAGAAACGGAGGGGGGACAGCAAAGGGGGAGGAACGAAGGGGGAACAGCAAAGGGCGAGGAACGGAGGGGGGACAGCAAAGGGGGAGGAACGGAGGGGGACAGCAAATGGGGAGGAACGGAGGGGGACAGCAAAGGGGGAGAAACGGATGGGGACAGCAAAGGGGAGGAACGGTGGGGGGACAGCAAAGGGGGAGGAACGGAGGGGGGACAGCAAAGGGGAGGAACGGTGGGGGACAGCAAAGGGGGAGGAACAGAGGCGGGACAACAAAGGGGGAGAAACGGATGGGGGACAGCAAAGGGGAGAAACGGAGGCGGGACAGCAAAGGGGGAGGAACGGAGGGGGGACAGCAAAGGGGGAGGAACGGAGGGGGGACAGGAAAGGAGGAGCAACGGAGGGGGGACAGGAAAGGGGGAGAATCGGATGGGGGACAGCAAAGGAGGAAGAACGGAGGGGGACAGCAAAGGGGAGGAACCGAGGGGACAGCAAAGGGCGAGGAACGGAGGGGGGACAGCAAAGGGGAGGAACGGAGGGGGGACAGCAAAGGGGGAGAAACGGAGGGGGGACAGCAAAGGGGGAGGAACGAAGGGGGAACAGCAAAGGGCGAGGAACGGAGGGGGACAGCAAAGGGGGAGGAACGGAGGGGGGACAGCAAATGGGGAGGAACGGAGGGGGACAGCAAAGGGGGAGGAACGAAGGGGGAACAGCAAAGGGCGAGGAACGGGGGGGACAGCAAAGGGGAGGAACGGAGGGGGGACAGCAAAGGGGGAGGAACGGAGGGGGGACAGCAAAGGGAGAGGAACGGACAGGAGGCAGGACAGCAAAGGGGAGGAACGGATGGGGACAGCAAAGGGGAGGAACGAAGGGGAACAGCAAAGGGCGAGGAACGGAGGGGGGACAGCAAAGGGGGAGGAACGGAGGGGGACAGCAAAGGGGGAGGAACGGAGGGGGACAGCAAAGGGGGAGGAACGAAGGGGGAACAGCAAAAGGCGAGGAACGGAGGGGGGACAGCAAAGGGGGAGGAACGGAGGGGGGACAGCAAAGGGGGAGGAACGGAGGGGGACAGCAAAGGGGAGGAACGGAGGGGGGACAGCAAAGGGGGAGGAACGGAGGGGGGACAGCAAAGGGGGAGGAACGGAGGGGGGACAGCAAAGGGGGAGAAACGGATGGGGGACAGCAAAGAGGAGGAACCGAGGGGGGACAGCAAAGGGGGAGGAACGGAGGGGGACAGCAAAGGGGGAGGAACGGAGGGGGGACAGCAAAGGGGGAGGAACGGTGGGGGACAGCAAAGGGGGAGGAACGGAGGGGGACAGCAAAGGGGAGGAACGGAGGGGGACAGCAAAGGGGGAGGAACGGAGGCGGGACAGCAAAGGGGGAGGAACGGATGGGGGACAGCAAAGGGGGAGAAACGGAGGGGGACAGCAAAGGGGAGAAACGGAGGGGGGACAGCAAAGGGGGAGGAACGGAGGGGGACAGCAAAGGGGGAGGAACGGTGGGGGGACAGCAAAGGGGGAGGAACAGAGGGGGACAGCAAAGGGGAGGAACGGTGGGGGGACAGCAAAGGGGGAGGAACGGAGGGGGACAGCAAAGGGGGAGGAACGGAGGGGGACAGCAAAGGGGGAGGAACGGAGGCGGGACAGCAAAGGGGGAGGAACGGAGGGGGACAGCAAAGGGGGAGGAACGGAGGGAGGACAGCAAAGGGGGAGGAACGGTGGGGGACAGCAAAGGGGAGGAACGGAGGGGGACAGCAAAGGGGGAGGAACGGTGGGGGGACAGCAAAGGGGGAGGAACGGAGGAAGACAGCAAAGGGGGAGAAACGGATGGGGGACAGCAAAGGGGGAGGAACGGAGGGGGACAGCAAAGGGGGAGGAACGGATGGGGGACAGCAAAGGGGGAGGAACGGAGGGGGGACAGCAAAGGGGAGGAACGGGGGGGGACAGCAAAGGGGGGAACGGTGGCGGGACAGCAAAGGGGGAGGAACCGAGGGGGGACAGCAAAGGGCGAGGAACGGAGGGGGGACAGCAAAGGGGGAGGAACGGAGGGGGACAGCGAAGGGGAGGAACGGTGGGGGGACAGCAAAGGGGGAGGAACAGAGGGGGGACAACAAAGGGGTGAAACGGATGGGGGACAGCATAAGGGGAGGAACGGAGGGGGGACAGCAAAGGGGGAGAAACGGAGGGAGGACAGCAAAGGGGGAGAAACGGATGGGGGACAGCAAAGGGGGAGAAACGGAGGGGGGACAGCAAAGGGGGAGGAACGGAGGGGGGACAGCAAAGGGGAGGAACGGAGGGGGACAGCAAAGGGGGAGGAACGGTGGGGACAGCAAAGGGGAGGAACGGAGGGAGGACAGCAAAGGGGGAGGAACGGTGGGGGGACAGCAAAG